TCAAAATGGATCAAACAACTAAATATAAGAGCTAAAACTATGAAACTCTTAGAAAAAAAAACATAGAGGACAAGCCTCATGATTTTTGGTCTGACAATGATTTCTTGGATGTGACACCATCAGCACAGGTGACAAAGATAAAAATAGATAAACTGGACTTCATCAAAACTGAAAATGTTTACTAATGGTCACAATCTATAGAGTGAAAAGGCAATTCATAGAATGGAAGGAAAGAAACATCAGCAAATAAAGCATCTGATAAGGGGTTACCATCCAAAATATATAATGAACTCCTAAAAGTTAGTCGCAGAAAAAAGAAACAAAAAACAAAATAAAAAATGTACAAAGGACTGGAATAGCCATTTTTTTCCATAGAAGATATACAAAACACCAATAAGCACATGAAAATATAATCTCTAATCATTAGAATGTGCAAGTAAAACCCACAATGAGATATTATTTCATAGACATTATGAAGGATGATTAGTATCATAAAACAGAAAATAACAATCATTGGAAAAGAGGTGGGGAGATGGAACTTTTGTGCCTCACTGGTGGGAATGTAAAATTGGTGCAGCTGCTGTGGAAGACACTGTGGATATTGCTCAAAAAGTAAACACACACCTAGCACATAACCCAGCATTTCTATTCCTGGGGGTACACACCCTAACGTTGAAAACAGGCCTTGAACAGAACAGGTACTCAAATGCCAATATTCAGACAAGCATATTCTAAATAGCCAAAAGTTGGAAACAACCCAAGTGCCTATAGTCAAGTGAATGGATAAAAAATGTGGTATATACTAACAGTGGAATATTATTTAATCATAAAAGGAATAAAGTTCTGATACAGGGTGCAAGGTAGATGAACCTTGAAGACGTTATGCTAAGTGAAATAAGCCAAAATAGTTAAATTCATACATAATTGAAGAACAATTGCCAGGGTCGGAGGAAGGGGAAAACGGAGAGTTATTGTTTAATGGGTAATGTTTGAATTTGAGATGAAAAGGTTTTGGAGATACAGAAGTGATGGTTGCACAACAAGGTGAATGTAGTTAATGCCACTGATATGTAAACTTAAAACGGTTAAAATGGTAGAAATAAAATAAAATAAAAGTTGATTTGCAAAAAATAGCATAAGAGTGGCTTGACCATTTCTGGAAAGAAAGTGTTCTGCCAGATATTAAGGCATGTCATAGTACTAGAGTAAAAAAAAAAAAAGATTTGGTATTGGCACAGGCATGGGCAGAGTTCAAGTGAACAGAGAAACAACTGGAACACCTATGAATTTAATGTATGATACAAACTGGCACTTGCAACAGTTGGAGAGAAGATAATGAATGTATATACCAATTCCAGATGTAACAGAATTTGAATGCAGAGAATGCAATCAGAACACATGGTTGAAAATTTTCTATAATTTCAGCATGGGGAAGACCTACAACTTTTATAATAAGACACAACTCATATAATCATGACACCAAAAAAAAAAAAATTGAACCAACCAACTACCTGTTAATGTGAAACCTATGCACATATAAATGACCACTGATGTTAAAATAGTTAAATAAATGTGGTATAAAGTCCACATTAAAAGGATGGGAGTAAATCTAAATACAATCTCAGTCACATTTACATGTAAATGTAAAATGTGAAAGTTTTAGAAAAATATGAACAGCATAATTCCATTTCTGGTTAACAAAAAGAACATTAAGATATGTGTATCTACATGTTTAAGGATGTGAATATATAGAAACATATGAGAATATCTAAACTATTAAGCGATGAACTCAGGTAATGAATTAGAGAAACAGAAGGAGACTAATCTTTTACTCCATACACTTTGGTAATATTTGAAATTTTATAAATATATATCATATGCTATTACTTATAGAATTAGAAGTTACAAAAAGCAATCTATATCCAAACGTATAAAATTTTAAGAGTAAGGTGACTCGTAAAAATAAGGCAAAGATAAAAACCTAAATATGATTCACTTCCTATTAAGAGGGTTTAATTTATAATAAGTTGACAAATCAACAAAACATATTTTAAAAACATAATAGAAAAATAAGCAAAGAACATGAATAAGTAAATGTGGGTGAAAAATATTTCAGCTTCATTTGTATATAATGAAACAAGCACAAATTAACACATGACATTATTTTTTACTAATCACCTTATAAAATTCTTAACAATATAAATAGGATAAAGAGTTACTTAACCTGGTTGACTTGAAGTAGGAGGTGTGGCTGGAACAGTAGACTTGACACCTCAGAAAATAAATTTGATTATATTCACCAGCTTAATCTATACAAAGTTAGGAATTTAATTTGACTTTTTATTTTTTAAAAAAGATTACTTATTTCTCTAAATGAACAATACACACACTTTCCTATCTTTGCAATTCTACTATGGAAAGTTACTATATGGATTTTGCATAAGAATGTTCACTGTAGCTTTATATTTTAGAATGGAAATCCTAGAAATTAACTAATAGAAAATCACAAAAATAATATATTCCCAAAACATAGGTATATTTTAAAAAATTGCAATCCAATTACTATTGTATTACATAATTCTTATGTTTTTGTTTTTCACTTAATATTTCACTTTTCTTCATGTTAGGGCATGTATAGATATACATGTTGCTAGTGATTTTTTATATAGTTTCCTCAAACTGATGATAAAAATTGATTGAAAGTCCCATGAGGAATTTTGATATTTAAGAAAAAATCCCTATAGATTACCTTCTTTATAAACATTTTCTCACAATCCTCTCTTCTTTGAAACACTGAACAGTATCAGTGTTATATAAGTACTTTATGCAATACTTATGGTTAACTCTTTCAACAGACCATATCAACTGTACTTGAACAACAATAAAAAAGTTTAAAAGAATAAATAACTCAAATCATAAGTGAAGCTTTTTACTAAATTGCAAAAAATCCTGGATAATTATAAAGTTATTTTACATTTTGAAATTTAAAAAAGCTAAAAACTAAAAGAGCCTATCAACACAGTATCCCACAGTGCATATACCCACTAGGACCATGTGAGTAAACACAGATGGGCTAATGAGTATAAACTTCACATGCAATCTTAATATATCAGTCCACAAAAAAAACATCTTTCCCCCCTCCAAAACCTCACAGCACTCAGCTAAGGTACTCAAAGATGCTATCAGTTTCCAGGTATAGAAGAATTACAAAAAGGTGTTCTAATTACCATGTTAACAGGCATAATTCCCTTTAATCCTTTAAAATATTAGGAGAATAGGAAATATACCAACAAATTAGAAGCCAGTAATGAAAATTTGTTTTGCGTTCAACACCCTCATGTTTAACAGGAAACCAAATCCACAGAAATGATATTATTGGGATAAGTGGAGCTAAATTAGGACCTTGTGTGAGGTCTGCCCAGGCTAAAGCTCTTCCCACAACACTAGTTCCCCCTTGTCCACATGGGATACATTCCACAAACCCCACTGATGCCTGGAAACCTGGATGGTGCTGAACCATATATACATTATATTTTTACTGTACATACATAACCATAATAAAGTTTAATGTATAAATTAGGCAAGGTAAGAGATTAACAACTACTACTAATAAAATGGAACAATTATAACAACTTTCTGTAATAAAAATAATGTGAATGTGGTCTCTCCCTCTGAAAATATCGTATTGTACTGCACTCTCCCTTTTTCTAGTGATGATGTGAGATGGTACAATGCCTATGTGATGAGAAGAAGTGAAGTGAATACACTGAACCGGGGCATGAGTCCCTGGGTGGGAAAGAGTGGGACAGTGTGAGATTTCATCATGTTGCTTGGAATGGCAAATAATTTAAAACTTACGAGTTACTTATTCCTAGAATTTCCATTTAATATTTTCGGACCCTGGTTGCGGGTAACTGAAACCACAGAAAGTGAAACTGTGTGTATGTGGTGACTACTGCATTGTTCTTGTCTCCTGTTTCTGCTGAAACCAGAGAGGAGCCAGAGACAGCACCTCCAAAATCAGGGAGACTGTTCTGTCCACCATACCAAAATAATCTCCCAAGGCTTAAGCAGAGCAGCTCATCAGAAGTCCATGCAAGAAGTCCTCCATTACATTTCAATAACAAAAGAATTTTTCTGCCTTTCAGTTGCTATGAAATTTACTTTCTATTCCTAAATAAAAATGCCCAGTAAAGAGCAAAAGAATAATTATATGAGGAAGGGAAAGGTGGGGGTCTTGTTCTAGAGACAGCAGAAGCTTCCCAGTTTACATATTAATTACTACATATTGTACTAGGAACAAAACTGGTTGTAGTCCAGGAAATAAAACATCATCTTGAATCATGAAGATACCCTGTAAAGTTATCAGCAGATTGTTTTTAAAATAACAGATTAATAAAGTTAGTGACATAGAAAATAGGTGTATTGACAAAGAAAGCCATGGGCGTTCCTCGTCACTAGTATTATGACTGGAGTGATGCTGTAAGTCATAAATGAACTTCCTTAAGAGCTTCCTGTATGACAGGCACTGTGCTAAGAGCTCCAAGTGCATCCCACTTTAACTCTACTGTCACCCAGTGAGGAAGGCATTAACTCACTTTACACACGAGAAAACACATTTAAGGTTTATTAACTTGTTCCCACGTTTGTCCCAATGTCTGCAAACTGTGGCAAATAGTTGTAGAATCACTAAGTGTAACAACTACAATGGCTGTGAATGTGTTCTTTCTCCTTTCATTACTAAAAATGATGGATGAGTGTAAATTACCAGATACTTAAAGGATTTTTAAAGTCACCTAGCAGTTAAACAATTTTGAAAAAAAACAAGCAGAAAGTACTAAACCTGAGACACTGGAAACTGTAGGTTTTGTATTGAGAGGTGTTGACACTGGAAAAAAATAAAGACGGGATCAACCATTAGGTAAAAATTTTCATGCTTCAATTTACTATGAAAAATGATTGCTATACATTTTTACACATAAATGCTGAAGAACAGACACCTACGTGATGTATGTAGTGTGCTGAGAACCTACAAAAGCACAAATTTTATGGCATACACCTGTCACAGAAATGAATATGAGATAGCATTAATTACAAAAACTGCTTCTTTTCAATTATTCAGTGTCATTGATATTTAATATCTGATAAATAAAACCTAGAAATAAAAGACACCCTTTGTACCTTTAACACATGTTGGCATTGCAGGCTCCCAAGTATTGTTAGGTCCACATGAGATAATGTTACTGCCCTCAAGGTAAAAACCCTTCAGGCATTCAACTATAACCATTATCTTGTAGTAAAATGTTTTTCCAACTCCTGACACCAGTCTTCCATTTGCAAGCACTGGATATTGACATTTGACCACTGAAAAGCAAAGAAGTTCTAGAATTAATGGAAAGCTGTTTTAACGTAGGAATGAAAAAACTAGTGCAAAATAGTAATTTCCCCTGGGGACAAAGAAGAAATGGAAGGCAGAATGTTAATTTTAAAAAAATTAAGACATTATTTGTCATTTTTATCATCTTTCCCACCTACAATAGACTGTCATGATAGATTATTGGTTTCCTATATGTTTTCCCATTACTGACAAGTTTTGAGGAAGTCCTGACTACCACATACAATTTTCGGGGAAGTTCAAAACAACTTTGGATGCTCTTTAGCTCTAGGGATTGTTTAAAATAAATTTTATGCTAGTCCTGGCTGGTGTAGCTCAGTAGATTGAGCACAGGCTGGGAACCAAAGTGTCCCAGGTTCGATTCCCCCCAGGGTACATGCCTGGGTTGCAGGCCATAAACCCAGCAACCGCATATTGATGTTTCTCTCTCTCTCTCTATCTCCCTCCCTTCCCGCTCTAAAAATAAATAAATAAAATCTTTAAATAAATAAATAAATAAATTTTATGCTGACACTGATTCAGTACCTTGATCTTTTAGAGAGGCAGGAAGTAGAGGCTTGTAAAAAGGTAATATTTGAGCTCAAATGTTGAAAACAAGGTAGCCATGCAAAGATATGCAGAGAGAAAGTCATCAGGTATCAACATACAAGAACTGGGGTGTTCAAGAAATAGAAAAGCCACTGGAGTTAGGACTGTGCTCCAAATATTTTGCACTGAACTCAGAGATCAAAAACATTTTCTATTGTAATCCCACAGGCCTAAAATAAAGTTAAAGCTTGATATTAGCCCTTGTACCCATGTATTCTGGTATTTACCATTCTGCTCTACTTCTGAGCAAGTAAAATGCTGGGCACCACCCTCTAGACTGATTTCAGGATCCAACAATGGGCATGGCAAAATTTGGAAAAAAGTTACAAACAAACAAAAGAAAACGCTGGGCTGCGCATTAAGCACAAGAGAACATGTTATGAGAGTAAATCTGAGCAACACATAAGGGTCCATAATGAGCTGCCCTTTAAGCCAGAAGAGGGCTCTTCCTCCTTGCACATGGACCTGAGTTTCCATCAAGTATCTTTTCCCTTCAACTTGTACAGCTTCCTTTAGCAGTTCTTGCAATTAAGTTAGGGTAGTGACCCTTCTCTTACCTTCTGTCTCAAAAGGTTGCTGGGTTTTTTTTTGTTTTTTAATTTCGGCCTTCAGTGTTAAAAGATTTCTCCTTGACAGAGATTTCTGTTACCTGTTTTATTGTTATTTTTTTCAACACATTATCAAATAGTATTGTCTTCTTGTGTCCACACTGAGAAGAAGGCAGCTGTCATTCTTACTTAGAGGGATGGGGGCAATGTAATAAGTCTCTTTTGTCTCATTGGCTGCTTTTTCTTTTTATCTTTTGTTTTCAGAAGTTTAACCAGGATGTGTTTAGTTTAGTGGGGGGTTCTTGATAAATTTAAAACATTTATTTATCCTGCTACAGTCACTGAATTTCCGGGACTTGTGCATTGTTGCTTTGGACATAATGTGGATACTTTTTTGAACACTATTTATTCAAATAGTTCCATACTGTTGTCTTCCCTCTTTCTGAAGCCCCCATTAACATGCATGTTTGACTGCTTGCTCCTCTTCCCCAGGTTGTAAGTCTCTCTCTCTCTCTGTCTCTACATTTTCAAATCAGGTTGGATATCTATTGCTCTCATTTCATGTTCACTGACCATTTCTGTGTTGTGCTAAACTGCCGTTAGTCATGGTAATGATTTTAAGTTAGGTTTACTGTATATAGTTGACACTCAGTAAAACCATTTTAAGTGTATAGCTTGTATGAGGTTCAATAAATGCAAATACTGATCATGTAATTTCGAACACAATGGACATAAAAGAGTTCTGTCATTCTCTAACATTTCCTCGTGCCACTTTGTAATCAACTCTCCCCACAAGCACCTCCAACCACCTTCCCCAACCAGCCAACCATTGATCTGTATCATTAGACTGTTTCTTTTCCAGAGTGTCATAATGGGATTACAACTTCTGAGTGCTGCTAGTTTCACTTAGCATAATGCATTTGAAAATCATTGCTTGTGTCATTGTGTGGATTAGAGGAAGTTTATTGCTTTTTATTGAGGAATGTTAAGCCATTATATGGATGTACCACAGCTGTTCATTCATTCACCAGCTGAGAAGCATGTGGATGTTTCCAATGTGGGGTGATTACAACTAATGCTGCTATGAATATTCTTATATAGGTTTCTATGTGAACATAGTTTAATTTACTTGGATTGCTGCATTGTATGGAAAGTGTATCTTTCACTTCATAAGAAATTGCTAAACAGTGTTCCAAAATGGACCTACCACTTTGCATTCTTAACAACTATACATGGGAGTCCCAATTGCTCCGTACCTTTGCCAGAAGATGTTATTTTTATTTTCTATCTTGTTTTTATTTCCAGACATTTTAGTAGATGTTTAGTGATATCTCATTGTAGTTTTAAATTATATTTCTGTATTTATTAATTATACTGAGCAACTTTGCATGTACTTTTTGCTATCCATATGTTTACTTTGACAAAATAGGTGTAATCAAATATTTTTCTCATTTAAAACAATTGGGTTGTTTTTTAATGATTGTGTTTTGGGAGATTTTTATATATTTTGATACATATTAATTATCAGGTATGTGCTTTGGCAATAATTTCTTTCAATCTTTGGTTCATTTTAAAAAATCCTTATAACAATATCTTTTGAGAGCAGAAGCTTTCAGTTCTTTAAAGGATCACAATTTTGCACTTAAGAAATCTTTGGCCAAGTCATGAATATGATCTTATTTTCAAGTACAAGTGTTATAATTTTGACTTTAGGTTAAGTCTAAGATCTGTTTTTAGTGCATGCTTGAATATGGTGCTAACATGGGTTGTGGTTGTCTTTCATGGCATATTGATGTTCAATTGTGCCTGACCTTTACCTTTTATTTCACTGAATTTGTTTGTACATGTGTGATAAAATCAATTGGGCCCATATGAAAGGGGCTCTTCTAGATTGTCTATTCTGTGCCATTCTTTTTCTATTATATGCATTGTAGTGTGTTGTATAAGGCTTGACATCAGATAGAATGAATCTTTTATTTTTTTTCAAAATTATTTTGACTCTTCTAATGCTTTTATTTTTCCATATAAATTTTAGAATCAGTTTATCAATTTTTTATGAAACATATGCTGGAATTTTTATTGGAATTATACTCAATTTATAGATCAGTTACAAGGAATCAATATCTTTATTATATTGATTCTTGTAACCCATGAACGATGAATTGCTCACTATTGACATCTTCTTTAATTTTTTTAAGTGTTTAGTTGTCCTAACCATTCAAATATTGCATAAGTGTTGTTAGATTCATTTGTATCTACTTTATGTAGTTCAGAGTTATAATGATACTTTTCACATTTCTAATCATTTCATGCTAGTTATATACATACCATTGATTTCTGTACATTGAGCTTGTGTCTTGCAACATTGGTAAGACTTCGTTCACTCTTTCATATTTTCCACACAGACAATCATGTCATAACCCAATAAGTCCATTTTATTTCTCCCTTTCCCTTATGTATGCTTATTTCTATATCTTGCCTTATTGCACTCAATAGAACCTTCAGTACATAATGATGGATAGAGTGGTAGGAGTAGACATCCTTGTCTCATTCCTACCTCAGTTGCAAAAGAAATATTTTGTCAAGTGTATTGTCTGTGTGATTCTTGTAGGTGCCTTTTATGAGGTTGAGGTAGTTAAATTCCTTCTATTCCTAGTCTGCTAAATAGCTTTACCATGAGAGATGATGAATTCTGTCAAATTCTGTTATGAAGATTATGTGTTTTTTCTTCTTTAGAGTCTCTTTAGAAGGTAAATTATACTGATTAAGTTTTGAACTTGGATTCATGGAAAAAATCTTACTTGATTATGATCCATTCTTATTTTTCTACATGACAGAATTTGATTTGTTTAATGGTTTTGGTTCTATGTTCATAGTGGATATTGTTTTTAATTTTTCCTGCAATGTTTTGCTTGGTTTTGGTATCAGGGTAATGCTGTCCTTATGGGATGAAGTGAGAACTATTTCCTCTTACAGTATTTTATTGAAGAGTTTATGTAGAGCTGTTATTATTTATTCCTTAAATGTTTAGTAGAATTCCTAGTGATGACATGGGGCGTGCATTTCTCTTTGTGAAAAGGCTTATGTGTCAAATTTGTTGGCAGAAAGTTGTACGTTATTCCTTTATTGCCCTTTAAGTGTGCAGAATATTTAGTGATGTTCTCTTCTTCATTGTTGATATTGGTGGTCTGTATCTTCTGTGTTTTTTCTCAGACTCACTACGGGTTTATCCATCTTACTGCTCTTCTCCAAGAACCAGGTGTTGGCTTTCAATGATTCTCCCTACATTTTTCTGTTTTCAATTTTATTGATTTCTGCTTTGATTATTTTCTTCTGTTTCCTAGGTCTGAGCTCAATTTGCTCTTCTTTCTTAGTTTCTTAAAGTTGAAAGCTTAGATGATCAAATCTGAAACTTTTCTCTTGTCCTAATATAAGTATTTCATGCTATGAATATCTGTCTTAGCAATGCTATTGCTGTACTCCAAAACTTTTAAAATGTTGATATATTCTGTTTTCATTTTTTATTCAATTCAGAACATTCTAATTTTTCCTTGTGACTACTTTTATTGTGGTTTAGTTAGAAGTGTTGTGCATAGTTTTTAAATATTTGGGGGTTTCACAGATATCTGTTTTGACTTCTACATTCATTCCATTGTAAAGATACTCTACTGTGAATAATTTCAATTTCTGAAATAAAAAAATTTTAAAAACATATTGCCTAGAATATGGTACTAAAGATTGTTCCATATGCACTTGAAAAGAGAAAATATTTTGCTGTTTTTCACTGGTTCCTTTTGTTCAAGAGTCAAATACCCTCCAATGTCTCCCTGTTGTTGGCCATGCTTAAATATCTTTAACATTGTTGTTTAAGTATAGGCAAATTTTTGAGATATTGTGGGTTTGTTTCAGACTATAGCAATAAGTGAGAATCCAAGTAAAGCAAGTCACAATTGTTTTTCTGGTTATGGTATTGCCTTCAATTTGCAAAAAATGTGATGTGTGCAAAGCACAATAAGGCAAAACACAATTAAACAAGATATGCCTATATATGTGGTCCAGAGTTTATCAGTCTTGTTGGTGAGAGGGTTAGTCTTACAATTTATTCTCCCAGTTCCTTTAGCCAGATCTCACAAGTATAAAGAGCTGTCATACTTGTCATATAATAACATAAAACTTTCTTAAAGCCAATGTGTGATTTTTGATGTTTGTGAACCAGAAAATTTCAATTCACGCATATACATAGTAATTAACAATGTCTAAACAGGAATACCAAAAAACATGTGGTGTGAAGAGTGGGCAATTCTACAACTAGAATTATTTTTTATTGTGCTTGACACATATTCAATTAAATTAGAAGCCAATTTAACAAGGAAAACAAGCAAAATGTCTTTTTAAAAAACTTGTTTACCAAAAAATTAGTAAAATTTTCTACACTATTTATGAATGAGATGGAAATAAATGGAAATATTTTTACCTTTACATTCAGGAGGGTCACTGCTCCAGTGGTTATGCCCAGAACAGACAAGCCTGCTCTCTCCAACAAGGGAATATTCATCTGGTCCATTTGAAGGATTGCAAACATAAATTACTACTTCATTATATTGAAATGTGTCCTTGTGGCTATTGGTGTATATTCCATTTGCTATTTGTCCAGGTGGTTTACACAAAATTCCTTAAGGAAAAAAACAGACATAAAAGGTAAAATGAGAAAGATTAAATGTGTATTAGTAATGTCCTATGAACTACCTTCAATAAATTCAATAATATAGGATTTTTACAATCTAGTTGTGAATCCAATATCTGGTTAAAAGAGAGTTTCTTTGAGAAAATGTACCGTCTCAACTTAAACCACTAATAGAGAAATAAAATTTTAGAATAAAACCTGTTTTTTTAAATACCCATATAAGATACCTAAATAAAATACCTGTATTTATCTGTAAGGCCATGCTAAGGGTGTTTTTTTTTTCTCATCAAAACACATGCTGACAATTTAATGAGAATATATACTTCTGATTAAGAAAAACTCAGTGCTAGTTGAGAAATGCTAACATCTCTTCTTAAACCAATAATTTACAGGTAGGCCAAGACTTTATTGTCTCTTTTTCACTGTCATCCAGAAGAGTGTACAGTGAAATTTTCCAGTGGCTTCACACTGTTTGATGATGCAGTGGAGTGAATCTGGAGGTCTTCCTTTAAGTCAGGCACTAAAGAGATTCAAGAATGTAAAGCAGTGGCATTCTTTTCCATATTTGTTTTGGAAATTTTGATTTTAAACAAAAAATGTGTTGCATATGTTAACATGTATTGAGTTTACTGTTTTTAAAAAATGAATTAGTAAGTGATTATTTAGAAAACTTCTGTTTTAATTCCAATATAAAGAATATCAGTAGCACTAAGCCACCTGCAGAAGAGCTCCGTGTGGGTCTTTGTTCATTGTAAGGCATAAAGGAGTCCCCACAGGACAGAGTTTGAGCACTGCTGCTCTAAATTCTCAAGAGAGAATATACTTACTTTCACACTGTGGGGGATTTCCACTCCATTCCACAGTAGTTCCAGAAAGCTCACAGTAGAGAATTTTTGTCCCAATTAAGTAATAACTAAATGAGAAAAGAAATGATTGTTTTCTTTCTCAGTTAACAAGACTACATAATACCAAAGAACTTTTTATGGGGTTGTTTTTCTGCACTACAGTAGCTCCAGGAAGAAGTTTCTTAAGTGGCATTTATAGGACGTGCTAACCACATCTGCAGTTTTTTTTTTAAGATTTTATTTATTTATATTTAGAGAGGGAAGGGAGGGAGAAAGAGAGAGAGAGAAACATCAATGTGCAGTTGCTGGGGGCCCTGGCCTGCAACCCAGGCATGTGCCCTGACTGGAAATCGAACCTGCGACGCTTTGGTTTGCCGCCCGCGCTCAATCCACTGAGCTATGCCAGCCAGGGCCACATCTGCAATTTAATGAACTAAAGAGATTCTTCACATGAACACATATTGGCCTGGGGCAAAATGTCTGTAGAAATCTGTCATGCCTGACAGACTGGGGCTTGCTGCCTCTGGCAGTCAGATCACATGTCCACTTCTATGTCCTTGCTCACGCCATTCTGCTCAGTCAGGACAACAACTGAGTGGAGAGATCTGGCCCAAGAGCTCATCTTTCTGGATTTGAGTCCCAGCTCCAAGACTGACTTGTTTTTTGAGCTTAGGCAAGTCCCTTAATGTTTCTCGATCTTAAATTCCTCACCTATGGAAATGGTATATATATTGTGGGGTTGTTTTGAGTAGTAGGTAAATTAACATTTGGAATGCAATGAGTGCTAGGCAAGTTTTGGGAGTTACGCATATTCTTCGGTTTGGAGTATCTTCTTAAGAATGGCTCAGGAAGACCCCTACCTGATGAAACTTTTTATTTGACAGTCTAAAGGAAAACGGGTCAGTGCCCTTGTCTCAATAGCCAGGTATTGCATGTTTTAAAAATCCTCGCAACACAGCAGTGTGCCTCTTGCGGCACACTGGTTGAAAATTGCTGGTCTGTGCATTAACCTTTTGGTGCTTCACAAGATGACTCACAGGCTCTCTCTATATTATTAGTGATGGGATATTCTCACTTGATCAAATTAAAAAATAGTAAAACTGCATGTACTTGCTTCCGGCTGAATTTTCCCCCAAGGCTCATCATTGATTCTATATTATATTAGGAGAGAATTCTGGGATCATGGCAGGATAGGAAGCACCAAAAATATGTCTTCCCAGCTAGACAATAACTCCACTGTTAGAATCTGCCTGACGTAACTATTTGGGAACTGTGGAGTCTGCTGAAGGCTTGCAACTTCCAAGAAAGACCTGGATAGGCAAATTGCATTAACATTGGTCACTTTCAGTTCTTAGCACAGTGGTAACTGCCCATTCCACTCTCACAGCAGGCAGCTGTGCTTGTGTTTCTGGAGCAGCTTATAAGCAGCCCGAGGGACCCAGGGCAGGCAAAATGGACCGTGTCCTTGGGGATCTGTGCTCTTATATTGCCTGCTGTTTCTGATCACAGAGAAGCAGACAGAGAGTTGGGCAGACACTGTTGTCCCCTCCCCCAAGTCGCAATCCTCATAGTTCCGTCTTACATTTTTCACTTCTTCCCCTTTCAGGAGACAGACATTAAAAACTGTAACATTTGAAACCACAGCACATGCCTAGAAAAATCTCAGTTTACATGTTGGGCTGAATCTGAGCACAGAGGCACTTTCAACTATCAAAACAAACAAACAAACAAATAAACAAGCAAAGAAACAACAAATCCTAGGAAATGGTGAGAATCTGATACCCAGAGTTACCCCCATTATTAGATCCTAATGTTCAGTTCAACCAAAAATATTATAAGGCATATAGAGAAAAAGGAAAGTATGGCCCATTCAAAGGAAAAGTAAATCAACAAAAATGTATTTCTGCCAAAAGATATAAGGGGACATGTACTATAAAAAGACTTTAAGATAGTCATTGAACTGCATGGACTTCTTTTGGAGGCCATCTTGGTGACAAACCTGCATTTTCCAGTGCCACAGTCTTCGTTTTCTTCATGAGACAGCTGAATGGCCATTGCAGAGATGTGGATATTTGTGAATACCCAGATAGGCAAGACTATCTATCACTCTCAAGGTGGGGGGCCCAGTGATACTATTGAGAACCTCAAATCCAAAATCAAAAAGGAGTGGATCCTCCTGACTAACAGCATCTGATGTTTGTATGCAAAAGCCTGGAGGGGCACCACACTCTGTCAGACTACAGTTCCAGAAATAGCCTACCCAGCACTGGGAGCCTCACCTGTGGGGTGGCATCAGTGAGCTCCTCCTGCTCCCCAGGAATACACCAGCCACAAGTGTTACAAGTGTTGTGCTTGCCTGCGCCTTTCTGCTGTCAATGACGGCAATAAGAAGTCAGGCCATCCCAACAATTTGTGTCCAAGAAGAAGTTGAAAAGAGGGCTCTCCACAGCCTACTCCAATGTAAACAGAGGGGTCTCTGCCAGAGATTCATGGTCCTGGGGCCTCAGTAAAATTTGAGAAAAATAAATGTCTTAAGGATGCTCAAAGAACTATAGGAAGAAATGTATAAAGTGAGGAAAACAATGTGTAAACAAAATGGAAATATAAATTCAGAGGTAGAAATGCTAAAAATAACACCTTTCCAAAAAATTCTGGAGTCCAAGGTTCAGCTAAAATAAAAAATTACATAGATGAATTAAATACACTTTTGTGCAGGAAGAAGGAAGAATCAGCAAACTTGAAGATGGACAATGAACATTATTTCGTCTGAGAAACAAAAATGAGAAAAGATTGAAGTGAAGGGAACCTAAGGGACCTGTGGGACCTGTGGGACACCAGTAAGCAGACCAACTTTTATGCACTATGGGAATCCCTGAAGGAAAAGACAAAGAGAAAGGCACTGAGAGAATTTTAAAGAAATAATGACTGAAAGCTTCCCAAACTTGATAGAAGGCATGACTATACATGTCCAAAAAGCTCATCAAACTCCAAGTAAAATGAAATCAAAGACCCACAGTAAGACCCATAATAATCAAACTTTCCAAAGGCAGCTATGAAGAGAGAATTCTGAAAGCTGCAAGGGAGCAGTGAATCATCAGGTACAAAGGATCCTAAATATGATTATCAGCAGATGTCTCATCAGACACCTGGGAGCCAGAAGACATTGAAGTAAGAGACTCAAAAGGGCCCTGGCTGGTGTAGCTCAGTGGATTGAGTGCAGGCTGTGAACCAAAGTGTCGCAGGTTCAATTCCCAGCCAGGGTACATACCTGGGTGCAGGTCATAACCCCTAGCAACTGCACATTGATGTTTCTCTCTCTCTTTCTATCTCCATCCCTTCCTTCTCTAAAAATAAATAAATAAAATCTTTTTTTTTTAAAAGGAGACTCAAAAGGGATCGGAAAAAATGGTCAACCAAAAATCTTCTACACAGCAAAACTGTGTTTCAAGAGTGAGAGAAATACTAAGACTGTCCCAGAAATAAAAAGTGAAGAGAATCTGTTATCATTACAACTCAACTGCAAAAAATGCTCCAGAGTGTCTTAAAAGGTGAAATTAAAGGACACTAGAGAGTAACTCATGCTGTATAGGCCAACATCTCCGTACAGGTACATACATGAGTAACTACTAAAGCTAGCATTATTGTGACAAAGGTTTATAAACACGTATTATTTTCTATGTGATTAAGAAACTAATCTTACAATGAAAATAAATATGAAGAAGTAGCCAGTATTGCAATTATTATAGAGGAATGAGATGGAGCTGATGGAATCCATTGTTGTAATTTTTTGAAGTTAAGTTGGTATAAATTCAAAGTGCAGTGTTATATAACTCTAGGATGTTAAATGTAATCCCTATGGGCACCACAGACAAAATCACTATACAATATGCACAAAAAGAAATGAGAAAGGAATTCCAACATTTCATTATAAAAATCAGCTAATAAAAACCAGGAATGCACAAAATGAAGGGCAAAATAAAAAGCTTTCAGAAAACAAATAGCTCCCTTCTTGTCAGGAATTACTTTAAATTTCAGTGGATTATACACTACAACCAAAAGGCAGATATGGGTAGAATGGATAAAAAATAGAAGATCCAACTTTATGCTGTCTACAGGCAACTAATTTGAGATTCAAGGACATGAACAAGTTGAAAGTGAAAGGATGGAAAAAGATGTTCCGTGCAAATTATAACCAACAGAGGGCAGGATGGCTATACTAATTCAGACAGAACAGACTTTGAATTGAAAAAGGTTATAAGACACAAGAAGCACATCATATTTTAATAAGTTTTATGTACTTTAAGAAGATATAATAATTATAAACATTTATGCACCTACTGACAAACTTTCAAAATATATGTAGCAAAAACTGACAACTGAAGGAAGAAATACACATTTTTATGTAACAGGCCTATCTCCAATAATAGTTAGAGACTTTACTATCAAAATCACAATAATAGATAGCACAAGACTGAAAATAAGGAAAGAGGACTTCAACAACGCAGTTAATCAGCTAGATTTCACAGTCATAAAGCACCATAGAACAGAATACACATTCTCCTCATGTGCACTTGGGACATCTTCCAGGATAGACCATAGGATCAGTCACAAATTAACATTAACTATCCAAAAGGATTGAAACAGATAGAAATCATATCAAGCAGCTTCTCTGACCACATAGGATAAAGTTGTTCAACATAGACCTTCACATCCTGAAGCTTTTCTGAAAGAACAGATTCATTGAGTAGCCACACGCTAGTCAGGGAAAAACACAAAGAAAAAACAAAACAAACCAGGTCCTGGGACATGTGGTCTGAACTACCAGCAGCAGGGACAGATGCAGAAGGCAAACATTTCTGCCATCCTGGGTTTAATGGGGTTCTTTTTATAGTTTTAAGGAGAAAGATATAAATTATTTTGAAGGAATTCACCCTTGCTGTAGAAAAGGGGATGCAGAAGAGGAATAAGTGGGGTAGTTCTGGGACAGGTGCAGAGTCTGTAGAGGAAGAAATGATGGGAGCCCTTTGAGTGTTGGATGGCAATAATCTGAAAAGTTCATGTGCAAGCAGGATGTGGTGAAATCTGGTGGTCAGCAACTCCTTTTGAAATAAGACCTGTAACAGCTCTTCTATTAACACTATTCTGAAATAGCTCTGGAAGTTGATTCAAAGTTTCAACATACATTCCAGAAAGTGAGCAGTCTTAGTTTCTGCCCTTGGCTCACTCCCTGTCTCTCCTACACACCCTCAAGCCTTCTGTAATTTAATTTGGGACCATGTCACTATGATTACTACATTTTTAATGCCTACAATAGACTTATTATTACATATAGTATTATATGACTTTGCTTTCCTTTCATTTAAATTTCTATGTATCACACACTGATCTCCACAAAGAGCCCAAGAGTTGATTGGCTGTAAATACAACTTGTCACACAGAAAGCAAGATGAAATCAATGTTATGGGAATGCTTAGGAGAGAGCCAAACAAATAGAACTGGTAACATTTACCTTATCTCTCTAGAGCAACTTACCCATCATTACAAACATAGTGAGCCTGTGAACCAAACTGGTGAGTTCCATTTACGTAGACCACTTGACCATTTGTGGGATCTCTTAGCTGTGGGCATGGTTTTTCTAAAAAAAAAAAATTCAAATTTGTTGTTTTACACCACTGTCAACACAGATTTGAATCAAAATAAAAAATCTACATTGTTTTATTTAATTTATGGAAATAGTTTCTTTCTTATTTGTCTTTATTAAATTTATTGGGGTGACATTGGTTACTAAGGTTTCAAGTGTACTTGAAACCTTAAGGTTTCAAGTGTACTATAGGTTTCAAGTGTACATTTCTATGGTACATGATTTGCATATTACATTGTGCACCCACCACCTAAAGTGAAATCATTTATGTTGCCAGGTATTTGATCCTCTTTACACTTTACTATCTTCCCCCACCAACCCCCTTTTCTCTGATAACCTCCAAATTGTTGCCTGTGTCTATAAGTTTCAGTTTTATATCCCACATATGAGTGAAGTTATATGATTCTTAGCATTTTCTAACTGACTTATTTTGCTTAGCATGTTATTCTCAAGTTCCACCCATGTTGTCACAAATGGCTGAACTTAAGAATCACATTTCTCAAGAGAATTGATAGCCAAATTAAAAATGTCCTGGAGATTTTCAAAGCCTGAAAAAATACATTGTAATCTAAAATCTAACTTCACACAAGAAAACCATCATTTCAGTAGAGAACTATGAAGTCTAAAATATGTGGAAGTCTCTAGATCAATAAAAGTAAACGGTTTTGTGTCCTTACTTGTACAAGCCTCATGGAGAGGTTCCCATGTGTTATCAGGCTGACAAACAGAAGACAAGAATAGAGGATAAAGAGTATGCATGTATCCTGGGCGACACTGATATTCTACACGGTCCCCGGGTTGATAAACATCATTAGGTTGATCTTGGAGCATCATAGATATATATCTTGGTGGAGCACCACAGGCATCTAGGTATAACAGAATGAGAACATGAAAGTAAAGCATTTTCTCCTTTTCGCCCAGCCATGGATTATACCCTGGCAGCAGGCAGGTAGGACAGAATAAAGGGAAAGGTTGTTGGCAAGGTTTTAAGTGATTGTTGTGTTCTTTTACAGGATGCTGTGCCACACCTGATTTAAGCAACATTCCATCAGCTTTTAGTTTCTCAGAGAGTAAGGTGAATATTCATTCAACAGTAAATTGAAGAGACAGCAGCAATATTTTTGGTTTTAAAAGATATTTATAAGTATGCAACCTTCACCATTGTTTTCTGAATTTATTTCACACTTACCTCTCTCCTATAGCCCCCGATCAGATTACCCTTCCACAGTTTGAAACACAAACTGATGATGATGACGACTTGTCACTTCAGGCACAGACTTCTCTTGGAATGCGAGTGCCTGAGGTCAGGGACAATAGGCCTTTTCCTACTATACTCTGCACCTAGTGGGTGCTCAAGAAATGCTATCATAAGCACTGACTGTTAAATAATCATTGCACATTTCATAGATCAAAATCTGGACTAAACTATTTCAAACTGTAAGACTTCATATGTTTCAGTATCAGTGAACTGAGCACTTTGTAAGTGAATAGATGCCAATTAAATATCAACATTTATAACTTTAACATTATTTTAAATATAATTTATTCTTCCCTCACTAATCAATGGGTCATGCTTGGCCTGAAAAATTCTCTGAGGCAGCTGTTTGGTCATATCATTATGCCATTAGAATTTTTTATTTCTCATTTTTTTTGGTAGTAGTTTTTTTTCCTCCCTAGAATACTGTTGCTTCTACTTTAGCAATTCTTCTTCCTCTAAATTGTCTGTGGGCTTGAAAGCCTAACAAATGTGATAAAACTATTGCATAAAATAATGTACTGAAGACGCATAGAGTCCTAAAGAGCTAGAAGAATGCAGAGGCCTCTCCTACCAGGTTAAGGACCTAAGGAGAAAGCGGGTAGATCTGTGTTGATCCCTGAGAAACTTTTCTGATTCCCTGGATTGGTCTTATATCAGATTGATATTAAACTTTAAAAGACACATATTTGCACTTCTAACAAATAACAAAATTTATGTGACATTTGAATTGAATTCACTGGGGTAACATTGGTTAATAACATTCCATACATTTCAGGTGTACAACATTGGACTAGCACATCTGTGTACTCTACTGTGGAGTTTAGTCTCCTTCCCTCCCCTCCCTTTAACTTCAATGTGCCCCCACCATCACTCTTCCCTTCCAGTTACTGCCATTTTGTTGTCTGTAAGTGTTCTTTTTGTTTGCTTTGTTTGTTCATTTGTTGCTTTTTTGTTTTATATCCCACATAGGAGTGAAATCACAGTTTCTGTCTTTTTCTGGCTACTTACTTCCTTAGCATAATACTCTCAAGATCCATCCATGTTGTTTCAAATGACAATATTTAATCTTTTTATGTGGCTGAGTAGTATTCCATTGCATATATATACCTCATCTTCTTTATTCAATCACCCATTAAAGGACAGGTAGGTTGTTTCCATGTCTTGGTTACTGTGAATAATGCTGCAATGAACATAAGGTACCCTCTATCTTAATAAATGCTTTCAAACTATTCTGGTAGATGACGACATGAGGGATTGCTGTATCATATGTTAGCTCTATTCCTAATTTTTTTGATGAACCTTCATACTGTTTTTTATAGTAGCTGCACCAATTTACATTCCCACCAGAAGTACATGAGGTTTCCTCTTTCTCCATAACCTCTCCAATACTTGTTATTTCTTGTCTTATTGATAGTAAACATTCTAAGAGGTGTGAGGTGGTATTTCACTGTGGTTTTGATTTGCATCTCTCTTATACCTAGTGATGTCGAGTATCTTTTAATATATTGGAGGCCATCTTGGAAAATTGTCCAGGTCCTCTGCCCATTTTCTAAGCAGATTGTGTTGTTGAGCTGTATGATTTCTTCATATATTTTAAAAATCAGCACCTTGTCAGAGGTATCTTTTCCAAATATTTTTTCCCATTCAGTTGGTTGCCTTTTTGTATTATTAACAGTTTCTTTTGCTGTGAAGATGGTTTTAAATTAAGTATTGTTCCATTTATTTAACTCTTTGTTTCCACTTCCTATGCCTTTGGAGTCAAGTTTACAGAAATCCTTCTGAGACAAAAGTTGATAAATTTAATAGTTATCTTTTCTCGTATGTATTTTATTGTTACACGTCTTATATTCAAGTCTTTAATCCATTTGAAATTAATTCTTGTGTATGATGTCACATAGAATTCTAGTTTTATCTTTTTGCATGTGGCTTTTCAGTTTTACCAGTATGTTTCTTAAATTATATTTTATTGATTATGCTCTTACACTTGTCCCAATTTTCGCCTCCTCCAACCAGTTCTCCCCACTCCCTCAGGCAATCTCACACTGTTGTCCATGTACACGGGTCATACATATATGTTCTTTCTTTACATCTCCGTGAGCATTGTGTAAGTACCCATTTGCACTTCTTTTACTCATGTCTCCAACCCTCCATCCATCTGACACCCATCAACCTGCTTTCTGTATGTGATTCTGTTTCTGTTTTTCTTTTTTATATTGTTTTTTAGAATCAATTGTTGATAAATATGTACATATTGCCATTTTATTGTTCATATTTTTTAATCTTCTTCTTTTTGAAGAAGACCCTTTAATATTTCATACAATACTGGTTTGGTGGTGATGCACTCTTTTAGATTTTTCTTGTCTGGGAATCTCTTTATCTGCCCTTCAATTCTATATGATAGCTTTGCTTGGTAGAGTAATCTTGATTGTAGGCCCTTGCTTTTCATCACTTTGATATTTCTTGCCAATCCCTTCTAGCCTTAACATTTCTTCGAGAAGTCAGCTGACTGCCTTATGGGGGCTCCTTTATAAATAACTAACTGGTTTTCTCTCGCTGCTTTTAAGTTTCTCTCTGTCTTTAACCTTTGGCATTTTAATTATGATGTGTTCTGATGTGGGCCTCTTTGGGTTCACCTTCTTTGGATGTCTCTGTGCTTCCCAGCTTGTATGTCTATTTCCTTCACCAAGTTAGGGGAGTTTTCTGTCATTATTTTTTCAAATAGGTTTCCAATTTCTGTCTCTCTTCTCCTTGTAGCTCCCCCATGGTATGAATTGTAGGTATGCTTGAAGTTGTCCCAGAGTCTCCTTAAACTATCCTCATTTTTTTTTCATTTCATTTTTCTTCTTGCTGTTCTGATTGGTTGTTTTTTGCTTCCTTACCTTCCACATCACTGATTCTTAACTTCATCCACTCTACTGTTGATTCCCTGTACATTGTTCTTTATTTAATTAGTGTATGCTTCATTTCTGACTGGAATATTTTTATGCTGTTGAGATTCTCATTAAGTTCCTTGAGTATCCTTATAACCAGTATTTTGAAGTCTGCATCTAGTAGGTTGTTTGTCTACATTCTGTTTATTCTTTTTCTGGAGTTCTGTTCTGTTTTTTTCATTTGAACCTTGTTTCTTTGTCTTCTCATTTCAGCAGCCTCCCTGTGTTTTTTCCTATGTATCAGGGAGAGCTTCTACATCTACCAGGCTTGGCATAGTGGCCTAATGTAGAAGGTGTCCTGTAGAGTGCAGTGGCACAACCTCCCTTATTACCCAAGCTGGGTACTTGAGGTGCACCCACTGTGTGAGATGTATGCATCCTCTTGTTGTAATTGAGCCTTGATTGGTGTTATTATGTCCAAGGTCAGCTACCATCTCTGTTCTGTTCGAGGTCACACAGCATGAGCTACAAAGTGTTCTGCTGATGGCTGTCACTTGTGCTGGGCTTGGAGGTGCCCAGGCAAGGCCAGGCTGTGAACCAAGGCTGGACTGGGGCAATTTAGTAAGAGGTATGGGGCTTGTTGAAAGCAGATGCTGCTTGTTTGAGAGAATTTAGGAAAATCTGGCGCATGGGCCAAGATAAGCCATTTGTATGGTAAAGCCACTGGAAACAGTTTGGGTAGGCCCAGAAGTTGGTTGTGGCAAGGTCTTAGGGAATCACCAGGGTGGGGCAAACTGTGTGAGCCAGGTTGATGGAATGTCAGATACAGTGCCTGCCTGCTGGCTCTGTGGCTGTTGGTGGGAAGGGCTCAAAAAAAGAACAGTGGTCTCTGCCAGCACTTCTGTCTGGAAGAAAGCTGTCCCTCAGCAGTTACCCTGATGCCACACATTTCACTTCTTCTGTGTATGTCTCTGGTGACTTTCAATCTGCTGCTTCTGTGCTGGGGCTCAGAGGGAGTGAGTATGAGTAATCTGTGTGTGGGCCCTTTAAGAGGAACTGCCAGGGATTCCTGCAGCTTCTGTCTTTCACAGCCTCAATCCCTGCTAGTTTTACAACCAGAAGTTGTGGAGATTACTCTTCCTGGCACCTAAACCCTGAGTTGGGAGGCCTGGTGTGGGGCTGGGACCCTTCACTCCTGAGATATCTCTCCTGATATTTATCCGGCACATTAGGGCATGGGACCAGCCAATTCTTTGTCTCTGTCCCTCCTACCGTCTCAATGGATATTCGGTAGTTTAGTTGTAATTTTGATGTGGTTGAGGCAAGCTGTGTTTACCTATACTGCCATCTTGACCAGAAGTACCAGTGCCATTTATTGAAGAGAGTTTTCTTTCACCAGAGGGTCCCACGGGGGTAACACCTCAAATGCAGCAGGAGAATGTTCCCACATCGAGGGACAGCAAGTGCAGAAGCCCTTCTCATGGCCAGCCCTTCTCAAGCCCTTCTCATGGCCTAGAAGAGTCTCCCCTATCTGAAGGGTATAAGACCAGTCATTTATTCAATGCTGTCAGAGACCCATGCTCCCTCCCTCCAGAGCACCTGTCTGGGGTTATAACATATCAGTATTATGATTTGGTTACTGTCTGCCAGTCCCAATAAATTTCTGAAAATGTTGATTGATTGCCTACTGTGTGCCTGGCACTGGAATCAAACAGTGAGCAAAAAAACAGTCACTGTTTATATCTGAGTGTGTGTGGGTATAAACACACAAATAGTGAAACAAGGAATAGTGGAACAAGGAATGAAACAAGGAATTCCTATTCATAAAAATAGGAATGACTTGCTATTATTCATCAGTGTATCCTCAGAACCAGCAAAGAACCTGGTACATAAAAAAAGCAAATATTCATTGAATGAATTCTGCTAAGGACAGAATGCAGCATACAAACTGTATGTGTAATGGGGTCAAATAGCTTGGGTATAGACACACATATGCATATAAAGACAGTTAGAAATACACCAAAGCATTCAATGATTGTCCTTTGACTCTATACATTTTATACAATAAGCATATACATGTATGTATACTTGTATCTATTCATTCCAATGAACATTCCATTTAATGAAACACAATTCAAACTTAGTGAATGGCTTTCAGCTTTAGTTTATGAGCTGAAGGGGAAAACCCTATTGATGATACTTATAGGTCATTTCTTATGACTCTTATTTCTCACTAGGTTTGACTACCAGTATTTTTTAGCCTGCTTCAAATCTCCCCTTCATTAGGACCCAACATAGTTAAAAAGAAAGAAAAAGGAAAAGAAAAGAAAAAAAAAGAAAAGAAAAGAAAAAAACATTGCCCCCAAAGACATTCAGGAATAGAATAATATTCCTGTAATGTCTGTATTGGTTGGTCATAGGAACATGATTCCGTGTGGGGGTCTGCATGGTGGGTGGGGCAGGAACAGCTTGCACACTAATTACCAATATGATTTGGGGGCAACAAGCAGCCTGCTATCATTATGCACAAAAAGCACTGCCAGTCCTTCCTAATCCCCCTAAATCCCAGGGGGGACCTCTCACTCAAGGACTCCCTGTAAAACATGTGCTCCCCAATACCCATATGAAATAAGCCAGGGAGCTGCCTTGCCCCACACCCTTGCACCACTGGACACTTCTGTAAAGCATAAATAACACCCGGCAACACCTGACCTGGGATTCCCCTGCACAACTCAGTGGGGCACAACACCCCACTCACCAAGGCATTGCCCTGCTAGGGAACACATCACAAACCCTCCCCATGGGCACAGCAGAGGCCCTAGCAACCTCCGCACACAACTGAACACTCAAGTGGAAGCCCTTACCTTCAGCACTGGGTCAGTGCTGCCCATCATGATTGACTGGCTTGGTCCCCAAACACCTGCAAGCTTTTAAACAGCTTGGCCCCCTGAAAAACATGGACTGTACCCTGTGCCCCACGAGGCTCAGTGCCTACCACCAAGCAACCCTCACTGCGGGCACTACAGGGTACTCACTGTCTGAATCGCCACAGCACAACCTTGAGCACTGTGGGTAAGCATTCTACCTCCACTCCGCACCATGCGGGTTGACCGTGTCCTCGGCCTCCCACCTGGCCTACTAAGCAAAGTTCCCTCTGCACTTGACATCTGTTCCTGACATCCTGCTCCCCAACCCGCTTCTGTTTGGTCCCTGACGCACACCCTTTCCCTTCTCCTACCGGAGCTTATAGGTAGCAGGAGCACTAGGGCCACCAAAAGGATCCCAAGAAAGCACGAAGATGAAAAGAGACTCTGGAGGTGGCGGATAGGTGCCTTGTGCAGCTCGTAACACACCCTCATTTTTCGGGACCCCAGGGTGAAACTTGAGGGACAGTGAGTATTTACCTTTTTGAGTGGATGCTGCAGATGTAACAATCAGCAAGCTCAAGAGTTCAGTGATGTATTGCTCGTGGGCGTGGCCTGGGCTGTGTTCTACGTGTTAGGTGGGACCAATCAGTGGCTACAAGGCCTGGCTTCTGCGCGTGGGCAGTGTGTTAGGTGTGGTTGGAACGCCTCCTGCTGGCAGCTCAGATTCCTCCCACGTTGGAGTCTGTCCTGAAAGTCACCTAGGGGGATGAACATTCGAGATTTCCCGGAAATGGAGGTTCACTGCCGCCTCCCACTAAGGCAGGGTGGAAAGGAAACAAGAACTGGCGGAGTCATCATGGCGGCTTTTCTGGAACACTGGATGGAAGAATAAAGAGCATCGACCTGAAAATAGAAACCCAGAGCCCAGACAGTGGGTCCCCTAAGGGCCAGCATCCTTAAGGTTCTCCTTTTGTCCTGGGGCTTCCAAACTGGCACTTGTGCCAGGGCCCTTGCTCTAATTCGGCATTAGTCAAGCATAATTAGGGACAATACTTGAGATTTTCGTGGTTGAAGGCCTGCCAGATTTCAAGATTACAAAGATGGTTTGGTCAGTGCACTCGCAGTCCCAATGGAAATTTTCCCCCTACTACGTTGAGAGGACCCCTGGTAAGTTGAATTATTAAACACCGTGCCGTTAAGTGAATTGGGCCTCAGTCTATGGGGCCCATACTGTTCTGGAAGTAAGTATAACTGAAGACCGAATACACGTGCTTGAAAAAGGTAAGGACAAGGGTTTATGCAGTGTCAAATTCCTTGATGCGAGTAAGGCCATGATTGGTGGGATGAATAGGATTGTTAAAAAGGGGAACTTTTGTAGGGAAACAATGTCAATTCTGGAACATTAAGAATGAGCAAGATTTATTTGTAGATGTAAATCTTTAAGACCAGTAAAAGGGAAAAAGTGCAACATGAGGGATGTTAAAGAGCACACAAAAGGACCTGACATTTTTTTCCTTAGTTGGCAAAGAATCAAAACGTCGAGTTGTGAGTAAACATATTGGGAGCAGCCCCACTCTCAAGTTTTGTTTTTGCTGTAATTTGTTGTTGAAAGTTTTAAAATAGACATGACTTTTAAACCCCCATTCTTACCTAGAGTTTATCCCAAAGAAATCATCAGAGCTGTGAGCAAAGATGCAGAATTTTGGAAAAATATAAACCCTAAGTGTCTAGTAACAGTATTAAGGAATTTATGGGATGGAATTCTATGCAGCAGGAAGTGTAAACATATCATTGTGAGGAACACTGATATTTTCATAAGTGGATAAATCTCCTAATCAGCTTGTGGCTTTTGGCATTTTTTTAAATGAATAGAATGTATGTTGATACACATAAAAAGATTAGTTGGTAATATACCCAAATTAACTAATACTTGATAGGATTATCCATATTTAAGGTGTTTTTTGTTCTTTTTCAGTTTTCTGTATTGACATGTTACATCTGGAATCAGGTAAAGAAAAAAGAGGTAATAACCCAACTCTTATATCAACATCTGTTTTCTTCATAGAATGGTGTAGACAGAATCCATATCACACAAGGTTAAGAAATGAGAGGTGGGGAAGGAAATGGAAGCTCTCAGTACAAACTTCAAATGCCAGAAAGGAGTCCTCCTGAGTAATTGGGCTCAAATTCATAACCAGAGTCGGTCAGCCATTGTTTACAGAGCCCCTCATGCACTCTTCATTGCAGGGAAAATGCACAGACTGGGCTGCCAAGCCTTCTGCACAGTGTTCCTGCCATCTGAGTTGACCCTTCTAAGAGAGCTCCAATAAGACTGAGACTTTCCCAGTCTAACTGGAGCTGTGCATCTATATCTCCTTTCACATCTTCACCAAAGTGGCTAAACTCTGGCCAGTCAAGACAGTGTGTTTTAGACCAATAAGACTGTGGATTTGGAATCCTCATTTGCTTGAGAACATGCCAAATCAGGGTCAACTTCTTTAAAATAAAAAACTTAGTGTTGGCTGATTCTTTGCATTCTAAGTTGGTACATATTTACATTATCCTTTTCAGAGGTGGGAGTAGCAGCATGAATGGACCTGTGAGTGCTCTCAGAGAAGGACTTGCACTGCCCTGATGCATGACACACTAGATTTGTGAAAACCTGAAAGTGAATGGCTAGACAGAGGATAGTTAAGCCATCTTTTAGATGTTGGTCCTGGGAGCTATGCCTCTCCATTTGCACCTGGTAAGCACTTCCTAGCTAGTTGACTTTCATATTTAGCTTTTACCAGCAAAAGCAATACTGTGGCATGCCATAACCAACACAGCAATTCTGAAACCATTCCAAAACATAAAGGAGAACATTTCTCAGCAAAAACACATTCATTTTATTCCCTCTTGGCTTAAAAAGAAAACGTATTACAAACCACATTCCATAAGTAGATTTGAAAGTAAAAACTTTTATTTCTCATAATAATGGTGAAGACAGAATTTCATGTTAATAGCATAGACTTAAAAATCACTTACATTTGATACTTGTTCACCCAAAGGCAAACAAAACAGAGTTAGAATGTTAATAGTAACCAATTCTACCACAATAAGTTTTATTAAAAAAAAAGAGAGAAGAGCTTTGGATATCAATTAGTTGAGTCCTTGATTTTCTGATGAAAAATGTAAAGCATGAGGTTAACAGAAATGCACAATAAAATAAGCTAGTGTAGGTAATATGGCATTTGATCCTAGTTAATATGTGTATGTAGAATAGTATATACAGTTATCATAGATAACTAATATGATAAAAAAAATCTCATGTATTTCTCTTTTAAAACTTATTTTTGATTATATTTCTTTCCATTACCATTTGTCCCCCTTATACTCTCCTCCCCCATCAATGACCACACTGTTGTCCATGACCATGGGTCCTTTTCCCCTTTTGCTCTGTCTCTCCATGTTCTAAAGCCCCCAGTCCCACAGCTGTCAGCCTGCGCTCTCTCTATGAGTCTGTCTCTATTTTGCTTGTTGGTTCAAGTTGTTCATTAGATTCCACCTGAGTGAAATCATGTGGTATTTGTCTTTCTCCGACTGGCTTATTTCACTTACAATAATTCTCCAGGTCCATCCATGCTGTCACAAAGGGTAAAATGTAGAATACCTGCATAGTAGTGGTATTCCATTGTGTAAATGTCCCCTAGTTATTTTATCCACTCATCCACTGATGGATATTTGGGCTGCTTCTTATCTTGTCAAGTGTAAATAATGCTGCAGTGAACATAGGGGTGCTTTTGTTCTTTTGAATTAGTGTTTTGGGTCTCTTTGGATACATTCCCAGAAGTAGAATTGCTGGGTCATAAGGCAGTTCCATTTTTAGTTTTCTGAAGTATCTCCATACTGCTTTCCACAGTGATTGCACCAATCTTCATTCCCACCAAGAGTGCAAAATAGGTTCCCCTTTCTCCACATCCTTGGCAGCACTTGTTGATATTTGTTGATTTATTGAGGATGGCCATTCTGACAAGTGTGAGGTGATATCTCATTGTGGTATTAATTTGCATTTTTCTGATGATTAGTGATGCTGAGAATCTTTTCATATGTCTATGGGCCATCTGTATGTCCTCCTTGGAGAAGTGTCCCTTCAGGTACTTTGCCCATTCCTTAATTAAATATTTTTTGGTGTTGAGTTTTATAAATTCCTTATAAATTTTGGATATTAGGCCCTTATCAGATGTATTGACAAATATGTGCTCCTGTTCAGTGGGTTTTTTCATTTTGTTGATGGTTTCCTTTGCTGTAAAAAAAAAACTTTTTAGTTCAATGTAGTCCCATCTGTTAATTTTTTCTTTTGTTTCCCTTGCCTGAGGAGATGTGCAGATAAAATAATGCTATGAGCAGTGTTCGAGATTTTACTGCCTATGGTTTCTTCTAGATTTTTATGGTTTTTAATTTAACTTTTAAGTCTTTAATCTTGAATTTATTCTTGTGTATGGTATAAGAAGGTGGTCTATTTCCTTTTTCTGCATGTATCTGTCCAATTTTCCCAATACCATTTATTGATTAAACTGTCTTTAGCCTACTGCATGTGCTTGGTTCCTCCATCAAATATTAATTGACCATAAAGGTATGGGTTTATTTCTGAGTTCTCTACACTTTTCCTTTGATATATGTGTGTGTGTTTATGCCAGTACCATGCTATTTTGCTTACTGTGGCATTATAGTACATTTTGATATTAGGTAGCGTGATTTCTCCAACCTTGTTTTTCTTCTCAAGATTGTAGTTCTATCTGGGGCCTTTTGGGATTCCATATGAATTTTAAAATATTTGTCCTAGTTATGTGACATACATCTTTGGCATCTTGATAGGAATTATGTTGAAACTATAATTGTTTTGGGTAGTATGGATATTTTAATGATGTTAATTTGTCCTATTCATGAACATAATATGTGCTTCCACTTATTTGTATCTTCTTCAATTTCTTTCTTTAGTGTCTTATAATTTTCTGAATACAAGCCTTTTACATCCTTGGTTAGATTTATTCCTAGGCATTATATTCTTTCTGAGGCAATTGTGAATGGGATTGTTTTCTTAATTTCCCTTTCCGATAGCTAATTATTGGCATATAAAAATTCAACTCATTTCTGGTTATTAACTTCATATCCTGCTACTTTCCTGAGTTCATTTATCAGGTCTTGGTGGACTTTTTAGAGTTCTGTATGTACAATATCATGCCATCTGCTAATAAACATAGCTTTACTTCTTTGTTTCCAATTCAAATGCCTTTTATTTCTTCCTCTTGTCTGATTGCTATGGCCAGGTCTCCTAGTACTATGTTGAACAAGAGAAGTAAAAGCAGACATCCCTATCTTGTTCTCAATCTCAAGGGGAATGCTTGTTGCTTTTGTTCATTGAGTATTTTGCTGGCTGTGGGTTTGTCATATACAGCCTTAATCATGTTTAGTTATGTTCTCTCAATTCCCATTTTGCTAAGGGTTTTATC